TACATTACTCAGAGAGGGAGAAGAAGTGGGGAGGAAGAGGATGCAGAGGAAGATTAGCAGCAGTGGCCTGATACAGTGGCACACATTTATAATCCCAGCACTTGGGGAGCTGAGGTGAGAGGATCTCAAGCTTGCAGGTAGTCTGTCTGGGCTATAACTAGACCACGCCTAAAACAGAACAAAACAAAAACCTGCACTCACAACCAGCGTGTGTACGGCCGGTGGGGAGTTCAGTGGTAGATCACGTGCCTAGTATGCATGAAGCCCTGGTTCAGTCCCTACCCAAGACCAGTGCAGACTTCCTCCACCCATGGCCCCAGTGGGTACAGAAATAACAGACTGGGAAATGGTGGCCAGCCGGCTATCACTGCTCCACGCTGGTTTCCATCCAGCAGCCTGCAGGCATCTTCCAAGCACTTCGTTCCTCCAATGTCAGAACCATCCCACCTGTAAAGTGAGAGCCTGGTGTCTGGTATATCAAGGCAACAGCGCGCTTCATGGCAAGATATAAATAAAACTTGACATTGCGCCTCTCATGCTCTTCACCTGTCTTTCTGGACATACACAGACTCGAGTTTCTTTAGATCTGACCTTGAAGACTTGATAATGAAGTTGCTGTGATGAAGCTGGGCACAGGTAGCTCATGCCTGTAATCCCAGCTACTTAGAAGGCTGAGATCTGGGTATTGCAGTTCAGAGCTAGCTGGGGCAGGAAAAGTCTGGGAGACTCTTATCCTCTAAGTTACCAAAAAAGGCTGGAAGTGAAGCTGTGGCTCAAGTGCTAGAGAGCTAGTCTTGAACAAAAGAGATCAGGGACAGCACCCAGGTCCTGAGTCCAAGCTTTGGCACCCGTGCGCGTGCCCCCCCCCACGCACACGCATGCACACACACACATACATACGTATGCATGCACACACGTGCACGCACACACACACACACACAATTGCTATGACGGATTATACTGACAGATCTGTCGTGCTACTTGGTGGAATGATCTGCTTTCTAGTGTGCTCCATCGGAAATGATGGGCAATACCTACCACAAGTCGTAGGAGCCAGGAAGTCTATGGCATTTATGTTTTAATATGACAGTTCATTTTGGCTGGTTTCTCTGCCCAGCCTCTCTTGCTGTGTGCTGCTAGATGGCTTTAAAAGGCTGTCCTCTCTGCTCTGTAACCTGATGCCCACTTGCTGACACCAGCCCTGTCACTTGAGAGTGGAAGTCAGTTCCTCAGAACTCAAGCTTCATGTCAACCCTTAGTTGGGGCCTGTCCCTAAGGAAGCATGAAGAGCAGTCACAGCGATACCCAGAGGTCAGCTGGGTGGATGGAATTACACCCGCATACCCATTCTCCCAGGGATGCTCCCTCAGGAGCACCACACCCCACCCGTTCCTGTTCCCTTCTACCTTTAGATGTCTACCCAAATCCCCACCCAGACTGATTCACAGATAGGATACAAGCAGAATACACTTGACTCCTTCACCGAAGGGGCATAGTGGCTCCAGCTCGGGGCCAGGTTGCCCAGTCCAAGTCCTCACTCCATCCCTTACAGGCTTCGTAGTTGTGATTTAAACTCCCTGGGGTGTGTGCTCTTCACCTGTGAAACCACAACCTCCCTCAGTAGGCTGTGAGGTCAAACTGGGGTAACATATTTAAAGCACACAGGACAGTCAGGTCTGGCAAATTAGGAATTGTTCAGTAACTGCTAGCCATTATTATCATTAAATGGCATGTGGGGCAGCATGCTACATTTGTCCTGTACATTTCCATGTAGTATTTGAGTTGGCTGACTCTATTTTCTTTTCTTTTTTTCTTTTCTTGGTAGTACTAGGGTTCGAACCCAGGACCTAGGGCTTGCTTGGCAGGTACTCTACTGCTTAGCCATACCTCCAACTCATTTTTGGTGCTGGTTATTTTTGAGATGGGATCAAAATGATCCTATTTATACTTCCTGTGTGGCTGGGATGACAGGAACATGCTATCACACCTAGCTTTTATTGGCTGAGATGGGGTCTTTCAAACTTTTTGCTCCAGCTGGTTTCAAATCATAATCCTCCAGACCTCTACTTCCCAAGGAGCTAGGATTACAGGCATGAGCCACCATGTCTGGCCCTTTTTGGTTTTATTCATTTATTGTTATTATTTGCAATACTGGTGTTTGAATCCAGAGATATACAGGTCTTCTACCACTTGAGCCACACCTGCAGCCCTTGGTTTGTTTTTTAAGATAGGGCCTTACAAAGCAGCCCAGGCTTGCCTGGGACTGACCATTCTTCTACCTCTGCCTCCCTAGTGCTAGGATTATAGGAGTGTGCCACCATACCTGGCTAAATGGTTTTTTTTGTTTTGTTTGTTTGTTTAGTTTTCTCTGCACAGCATTAAACATACTTAATGACTAGGACAGAACAACAAATCACCAATGTTCATACTCCCTGAGAAGAGCCTCCAATTTAAGATCAAGGCTGCTACCTAGTCATTGAGGAAGCACCCAGCCACTCACGGGCCTCCACAGACCATCAACACAGTGACTCCACTTTGGGAAAGTCTGCCAGCCAGCTTAAATCTCAATACGATGCTAAAGAAGCACTCACTATTTTTTTCTTTTTCTTTGTTTTTGCCAGTCCTGGGGCTTGAACTCAGGGCCTGGGCACTGTCCCTGCTTCTGTAGTTCAAGGCCAGCCTCTCCCACTTAAGCCACAGTGCCACTTCCAGCTTTTTCTGTGTATGTGGTGCTGAGGGATGAAACCCAGGGCTTCATGCTTCATGCATGCTAGGCAAGTGCTCTACCACTGAGCCACCTTCCCAGCCCCACATTTGCTTATTTTTAAATCATGTTTACAACCAGGAAAAGGCTGATTTTAAAAGTAAATATATGAACTCTTCTGATATCACAGGAAAGAAACTGACACAAATGGCAAGCCCATGTAATAAGGAGGAGCTAACTCTTACCTGCCCTATCTGAAACAAGGAAAGTTCTTCTCCAGGGCTAAGGAAGCAGAAGCAAGGTCAAATAGTAGTAGAGTGGTCAGTATTCATATTTCCCTTCCTCTCCTCCTCTTCCACTCCCTCCCTCCCTTCATTTTGAGACAGGGTCTTGCTTTGTAACCCAGACTGACTTCAAACTCTCAATTGCAGCCAAGATTAGACTCAATTAGAAGAAAACTATGACAACCAACAACAACAAAGAATTTGGTAAATCAAGGCCCACTAGAAGATCATCATCAAACTGGCACTGGTGGCTCACCTATAATCCTAGCTGTGCAGGAGGCTGAGATCTGAGGACCGAGGCTCAAGCTATCTAGGGCAGACACATCCTGGAGACTCTTATCTCCAATGAACCAGCAAAAAGCAGGAAGCAGAAGAGCAGCTGTGTGTGGAAGAAGCCTAGTGAGGGCTCAGGAAGAAGAAGGAGATGGGGCTGACACGCCCACCACCAGCCTGGTCTCCTAAAAAACAATTTCTCCAGCTCCTGCTCATGCCTAAAATCATAAATGCTCCCTATGGGAAAGAGTGAAAACCTCTCAAAATAATGGAGTCCTGGTCAACTCTGCGATCTTGTTTAACTATCAGGCCAGACAAGTTTCCTTATTTGTCCCAGGGAGGAGCTCCTTTCAGCTCTATCTACAGCACCCATCACCGTATCTGGTACATAGTAGTTGCTCAGTAAATGCTTGCTGATTCACAACAAATATGAATGCTTTGGGGCCTGTTCTCTGCCTGTGAGATCCTCTTTTCCCACCCACCCAGTCATCCCAGTCATTCTTCATTGCCTAACTCTACTCCCCGGCTTGTCCTCCCCTCACCAAAACCATTCTCTCCCCGACCCTCAATTTCTATAGGAACCAGCCGCCGCGGCTCTACTGCTGTCCAGCCTTTTCTGATGACCTGCTATGTCAGCCCCATTGGCCTGGATGATTTTCTGGGGCAATGGAGCCATTACTGCTTGTGGCCAGGCAGCCCAGTCACAGGCTTTGAGAAAAACCTGCGTAAGACACCAAAACAGGCCTCAGACACAGCACACAGCCCTCACTAACTGCTGCCATGCCGGGAACCGGAGGGCTCTCACTGATGGACCGACAGTAACAACACATCCTCTGAGCTCTGGAAATGGAGTTCATGCCTCAAATGCTTGCCCAGGATGTATAAAGCCATGGGTTCTATCCCCAGTACTGCACAGGAAAAAAAAAAAGAAGTCTTCTGCCAGGTGGGTTTTCGTGGACAGTAGAAACAGTGTCTGAGTCTGCATGATGTTCCTAAGCACACAGGGCTGCTCAAGAGCCACCCGGCAGCCACTGCCACACCGCAGCCCCATGATGCAGTGCAGAGAAGAGACTCAACACAAGTTTACAGAGCAGGCACAGTAGCCTGTGCCTAGAGTTCCAGCTACTTAAGAGGCTGAGGCATAAGGATATGAAAGAAGGAAAGAAGGGAGGGAGGGAGGGAGGGAGGGAGAGAAGGAGGGAGGGAGGGAGAGAAAGGGAGAAATGGAGAGAGGGAAGGAGGTGGGTGGATGAGCAGGTTGGTTTATGGGATGAGCTGAACAAAAGCCTGAAGCATATTCTGATATCAACACAGACCCAAGAGAGCTCTGCAGTCACTCACCCAGTGCATATTTACTAAGGCTCATCATTGTACACTGGGCTCTGTCTTAGGTTTGGCATTGGACAGTAAACACAGCCGTCACCTTCACAGAGGGGCAGACAATAAACAGAAAGAGACAAACGAACGGGCCCTTGGTGGTAAGTGACAAGAAGCGAGGGCTGTCTGAAGAGGTGACTTTAGGAGAAATCTGAGTCCCTAGGAGAGCGTGGGCTCCCGTCACCAGCTTGAAGCGCCTTTCCAGGGGCTCCCTCAGCCCTGCACGGCTATTACACATGGCTCCTAGGGCGCCTCCCAGCTCACACCAATTTGCACACTTTTCTAGGCCAGCCAATGCAATTTTATTTTACAGGGCTGTTAGCCCTGGACCCCAAAAGAGAGTAAAGAGATTATGGCCCTACCACCACGGGCCTGTTCCCCAGGAAGTTCAGATCGCTGTTCTCGCCAAACAGGTAACCTTCTGGATGTGTGGAGTCAAACTTCTCTCCTCCCATGATGAAGTGGCTGGCAAAATAGCTGCCTACGGAGGGCACAGACAGAAAAAGAGTTAGACAAGCAGCCACTGGATTAAATGAAGCAAAAAAATAATGAGTTTTTACAATTTTTATTTATTTTTTTTTTTATTTTTGGGTCCGGTCGTGGGGCCTGAACTCTGGGCCTGGGCGCTGTCCCTCAGCTCTTCAGCTCAAGGCTAGCGCTCTACCACTGGAGCCACAGAGCCACTTCCGGCTTTTTTCTTTTTACTTATGTGGTGCTGAGGCATCGAACCCAGGGCCTCATGCATGCAAGGCAAGCGCTCTACCACTGAGCCACCTCCCCAGCCCCCTTACAATTTTTTTAAGTTAAGCCTTAAAACAAATTAATAGATCTCTTCCTTTCTCCTTTCTTTCTTGCTTGCTTTCTTTCTTTCTCTCTCTCTTTCTTTCTTTCTTTCTTTCTTTTTCTCTCTCTCTTTCTTTCTTTCTTTCATCATAGGGCTTGAACTCAGGGCCTAGGCACTGTCTAGCACTCTACCACTTTTGAACCACAGCTCCACTCCCAGTTTTTGGGTGGTTAATTAGTGAAAAGAGTCTCAAGGGGACTTTTCTGCCCAGGCTGGCTTCAAACCATGATTTTCAGATCTCAGTCTCCTGAGTAGCTAGGATTACAGGCAGGAGTCATCAGTGCACAGCTTAGATCCATTTCTAATGCCAGGGTCATTTACCTTTCCCTCATTTGGGACAATGGCACAAAATCACAGCAGGAAAACCCAAGGTAACAAACATAAAAAATAGATCATCATTTTCTTCTGAAATTCTAGAGTGTTTATTATGATCTGTCATAAATACCATCAAACAAAAGACGAAAAGAACCCATAATGCCCATTAGTGAACATGTTTGTGTATTTTATTTCTCGGCGCTGTCTCTTAGATTTTCACTCAAGGCTAGTACTCTACCATTTGAACCACAATTCCACTTCCATTTTTTTTGCTAGTTAATTGAAGATAAGAGTCTCACAGACTTTCCTGCCCAGGTTGGCTTCAAGCAGCAATCCTTAGCTTTTCTAAGTAGCTAGGATTACAGGCGTGAGCCACTGATTCCAGTCCCTGATTTCTTCTTTTTCTCCCAGCACTTTCTAGTTTGAGCTGAGGACCCTCCTCTTGAGCCATGTATTCCATTTTTTTCTGTAGGTATTTTCTGATAGGGTCTCATATTTCATGTCCAGTGGAGTGGAACTATGACAATTGTATTATACCTTCCTCATACCTAGGTTCAAAAGCTTGGACCACCATACTCAGAATACTGATTGAGATGGGGTGTCGGTAACTTTTTGTCCAGGGTGGCTTCACCCTTAACTTTCTTCATCTCTACCTCCAAGCAGCTGGGCTTGTAGCTGTGAGGCCTGTTTTTTAAAATAATGCAATTTTATTGTTATTAATAAGGTGTTGTATAGAGGGGTTACCATTTCATAAGTCAGGTAATGAGTACTTTTTTTTGGACAATGTCACCCCTTCCTTCTCTTTCACCCCTTCCTGCATTTATCTTGTTTGTTTTAAGAGACAGGATTTTATTATGTGGCCCAGGCTACAATACTCCTGTCTCAGCCTCCTAAATGCTAGGATTGCAGATGTGTAATACCACACCCAACATATTTTTTACTTTTCTAGACACAGAATTTCAGTATGGAGCGGAGTGCTGGTGGTTCGTGCCTGTAATCCTAGCTACTCAGGAGGCTGAGATATGAGGATCATGGTTCAAAGCCAGCCCAGCAAGGCAAGTCCTTTATCTCCAATTAACCACCAGAAAACCAGAAGTGGCGCTGTGGCTCAAAGTGGTAGACTGCTAGCCTTGAAAAAAAAAGTCAGGGACAGTGCCCAGACCCTGAGTTCAAGCCCCATGACTGACAGAATAAAAAAGAATATCAGTGTGGAAACACCTATTAAACTAAACAACATGGACACAAATCACTCATCACAAAGTGAGGCAGTTCTCAAACTAACAATCAGGAAAATATTCTGCGAAAGTGATGGTGTCAACCACTGAAGAACTGTTGGAAATTATCCACCAAACATTAGAAACAGGGTCTGGGAAGGTGGCTTAGAGGTAGAGTGCTTGCCTAGCATGCATCAAGCCCTGGGTTTATTCCTCCATACCACATAAACAGAAAAGGCTTGATGTGGCACTGTGGCTCAAGTGGTAGAGTGCTAGCCTTGAGCAAAAGCAGCTCAGGGACAGTGCCCAGGTCCTGAGTTCAAGCCCCAGGACTGGCCAAAAAATAAAAAAGGCAAAAACAGTAGCTAGGTGTGCCGGTGGCTCACACCTGTAATCATAGCTACTCAGGAGGCTGAGATTTGAGGATTGCAGCTTGAAACCAGAGCAGGCAGGAAAGTGTGTGAAACTCTTAACTCCAATTAACCACTAAAATGCCAAAAGAAGATCTGTAGCTCCAGTATGAGAGTGCTAGCCTTGAGCAAAAACAGCTCAGGGATGTGCCCAAGTCCCGAGGTCCAGCCCCAGGACTGACCCCCCCCCCCAAAAAAAAAAAAAAAAGTTAGAAACAGGCTAAGCAACAGTGGCTCATACCTGTCTCAGCATCATGGTTCAAAGCCAGCCCATGCAGGACAGTCTTTTTTTTTTTTTTTTGGTCATGGGGCTTGAACTCTGGGCCTGGGCGCTGTCCCTCAGCTCCTCAGCTCAAGACGAGCACTCTACGACTCGAGCTACAGTGCCTTTTCTGGTTTTCTGATGGTTTACTGGAGATAAGAATTTCATGGAGGGCTGGGAAGGTGGCTCAGTGGTAGAGCGCTTGCCTTGCATGCATGAGGCCCTGGGTTCGATTCCTCAGCACCACATAAGCACATAAGCAAAAAAAAAAAGCCGGAAGTGGCACTGTGGCTCAAGTGGTAGAGCACTAGCCTTGAGCTGAAGAGCTGAGGGACAGTGCCCAGGCCCAGCGTTCAGGCCTCACGACCGGACCTCTCCCCCCCCAAAAAAAAAAAAAAAAAAGAGTTCCATGGACTTTCCTACCTGGGCTGGTTTTGAACCATGATCCTCAGATCTCAGCCTCCTGAGTAGCTAGGATTACCGGGATGAGCCACTGGCACCCGGCTACAGGCAGGAAAGTCTTTAGCTCCAATTAACCAACAAAAAAAAGCCAGGAGTAGAAGTGTGGTTCAAGCGGTAGGAGCACCAGCGTCACGCAACAAAGCTACGCAAGAGTGTGAGGCCCTGAGTTCAAGCCCCAGTACACTCCCTTTCTCTTTCTCTCCCTCTCTCCCTCTCCCCCCTCTCTCTCACACACACACAGAAGTTAGAAACAAGAATAACCACTGTGGAACTCTGGGAAGTCACTCATCAAAACAGCAACACCAAGCAACCATCTGCAGTAATGCAGCATGTAGTTCACCACTTAGGAAAGCTTAATTATCAATTATTTATGCCTTGCACTTGCCTAGCCCTATTTTCCAAGTGCATAATTTATAGAGGAAGGTGCCTCGCTGCCTTTAGTAGAAAGCAGCCTTCAAGTTCATGTGAATCATTCACTGCTGAGCTTAGCAAAATGTATTTTCTATACATTAGGTGAAATTAGAAAAGCTCCAGCTTTAGCTGTGTGTGCTAGCACAGGTCTGCAGCTATGATGCCTGAGCTACATTGGCAAGCCCTGCCTCAGAACACCAAGGGCTAGCTGGGATGTGACTCAGTGGTAGAGCATGCACAAGATCAAGGTCTGATTGCCAGCACTGGAAAACAAAAGTGTATTGAAGGGACTGGGAAGGTGGCTCAGTGGTAGAGCGCTTGCCTTGCATGCATGAGGCCCTGGGTTTGATTCCTCAGCACCACATAAGCAAAAAGAAAAAAAAAAAAACTGGAAGTGGTACTGTGGCTCAAGTGGTAGAACACTAGCCTTGAGCTGAAGAGCTGAGGGACAGTGTCCAGGCCCAGAGTTCAGGCCACACAACCAGACCCCCCAAAAAAACAAAAAAAGTGTAGTGAAGGATGGCTCACTGATAGACGAGTATGTGGAATGGAGAGAGGTATGTTTGGAGTCTGGAGCTGTCCAGCTTGAGTTCAGCGTGTGAGCAGGCAGGCAGGAAAACGGGGCAGAGATCCACCTGCAGATTTAACCTCATGAGAGGAGGGGACTCTCCTGCTAAGGGGTAACAATTTAAAGCAAGTTGCCAGGCTGGTGGCTCACACCTGTAGTCCTAGCTACTCAGGGGGCTGAGATCTGAGGACTGCAGCCAGCTAGGGCAGGAAAGTCTGTAAGATGTGAGACTTAGCTCTAGTTAACCAGCAAAAAGCTGGAAGTGAGCCGTGGCCCAAATGGTAGAGCTTCTAGCCTTGAGCAAAACAGCTCAGGGACAGTACCCAGGCCCTGAGTTCAAACCCCAGTACTAGTGCCCACATACACGCGCGCGCACACACACACACACACACACACACACACACACCCCAAAACAGAAGTTGAGTGCCAGTGGCGTACACCTGTAATCCTAGCTACTCAAGAAGCTGAGATCTGAGGATGCAGGTTTGAAGCAAGCCCAGGCAGACAAATCTAAGAGAGATTTATCTTAAGCATTTATTTTTCCTTGCCTATATTACCTGTACCTCTGAATAGGTGACCAGTTAGTAGATGAGAAGTTTCTCTTATAGGAATATACAAGCTAAGAAACAACAAAAGAATGACAGAATATCATTGCTTTATAATCCTTAACAAATTAACCAACCACTGATGAACCCCACCAAAAAAACATAACCAGATCTGGACGACAGTGACTCACGCCTGTAATCCTAGCTATTCAGGAGGCTGAGACCTGAGGACTGTGGTCCCAACCCAGCAGGGGCAGGAATATCTGTGAGACTCATCTCCAATGAACCACCAAAAAGCTGGAAGTAGAGCTGTGGCTCAAGTGACAGAGCACTAGCCTTGAGCAAAAGGCGCAGGGACAGTGCCTAGGCTCTTAGTTCCAGTGCCAGGACCAGAACACACACACAAGAAAATTTCCAGCTGCCCCCAAGCATCTGGTCATGCTTAATTGC